CCAGCCTCTGGGAAAGCCTGGATCACCTTCAGTGTTGAATTTCCTCAGTGTGCCAGAGCCAGGAGGATGCCTGGAGACAGGTGTATTCCCTTTCTTAGGAAACCCCAGGACCTCACAATCCAAATGCAGAAAAGGCCGGTAGATGATTGTCCCTGGAATATGCCAAAAGGATCTGGGGAGCTTCTCCAGAGACTAGGGACACCAAAGGATTGGAAGACGAGGTGTTTTCTGCTCTTGTGTTTTAGCTGAAGAGAAAGGCAGATACAGCAGAGCACTGCATGGGGGTGGGGGTACATGGTGTCTCTGAATATGATCTGGTGCCTGACCTGCTGCTCAGAACAGCTGGAGGCTGGCCAGTTGGCTTGGGGCAGGAAGTGCCTTCAGGCATATCAGGAAAAAGAGGTCATCCAGCGGTTTGCCGAGAGTTCTTTGCTCTGTAGGTAGAGTGGGAAGGAGAACAGTGCCCAGGCTGCTTGTTCATTCATTAACCACTGTTGTGCGCTGGTCCCTGAGAGCTCAGGAGTAACGGGAAGGCTGCCATGGGGTGGACTCTCTCCCTTTGCACTCAGTGTGATAAGAATTGATCCCCCTTACGTTTACTGAGCCAGGCTCCTTAGCATTTTGACTACCTTAATCAAGCTAATCTTTCCAACAATCCAGTGAAGAGAACACCAAGGTGACCCTCTTTACAGGTGAGAAAGTAGAGGCATGGAGAGCATCCAAATTTCCCCAAGGTCACAGGTTGGATAGAGCAGAGCTGGATTGGAGTCCCAGTTACCCGGGACAACCTGGTTAAGGCATAGACTGACAGGTAATGTGGGAGAATATGGCCAGTAGTTCCCAGATGGAATGATCAGTGTGCAGTCAGCGCCCAAGGGATGGGTGATAAACCAAGAATCACAAGCTTTAGCATGGTGGGGTTGGTGAGGCTTCATCTCCCAGGATGCAACACCTACTGAGTTGAGTAATAGGGGACCCTGATTAGTGTCCCAGGTAGGTTGGAAGCCTTGGGGAGATGTGCCCTGTGTTGATGGGGAAGGCTGGGCATGGTAAGATCCCCTGTAGACTTGGGGAGCTCAGTTTCAGAAAGTTTCAAAGATCATCACTTGATTTCCTGTGGTCTGTGGGCTCTGAAAGCAGTGGGGGAGTCCTGGAATTAAATTTGATTATTTCAGGTAGGAAAGACGTGGGGTGGTAATAAGAGATGTCTGTGTGGTTCAGAGGGATGTCTTGCTGAGGTCAGAGGAATGAGAGCCAAGAAGAGCCCTCCCCAGGACACTCACAATGACAGAGTGATGAGGACCACCAAAGAGCGTCAGGGGGCGAGAGCCCGGGCATGCACTGAGCCTACTGAGGAGAGCTGACGACCATAAAGCATCTTTTCATATCATGTTCGGAGCAAGGAGAACAAGAGCTTTGTAGATCCATCGCCGTCTGGGGCAGCTGGTGTCTGTGAAGGGGAGGAAGGCGCAGCTCCACTGTGCCCACAGCGGTCGGGATGGAGGAGGGTCTGCAGGTGCGAAGGGCGTGGGTGGGTCCCCGGAGGGAAGCAGGAGTCAGACAGTGCTAGGCTGCTGTTCATGTGCTCAGGGCCATGAACCAAAGAATGCCCTGGCCAGGGCATGGTGTGACCCGGAATGAGATCTCCCATCTGAGGTGCTGTGTGAGAGGCATTGGGGATGAAACCTGGAGGTGGATGAGACTCAAATCTGGTGTTTACGCTGGGAAAGATCGTAGAGTAAGAGGAAGGCTATGAGTCTGCAGGCACTGTGAGACGGGCACTATATGTGTGAGTGTGTGTGAGTGTGTCTGTCTCTCTGTGTGACCTCATGGAAGCTCAGCAATAGGACTTCAAGCAGACAAGTTACTCCTAGAGAAAGGGGGAGAATTGGCCTCCTCCAATTAGTCATACATGGGTAGGTCTGGGATGGGCTGGAGAGACAACTTAGCCTGAGCCCATTTTACAGATGGAAACCTGAGGCTCAGAGAGGTTGAGTGCTATGCTCAGGGTCACTGAGACGAGTGACGTTTCTGCATCTGCTTCTTTGGGAGATAGTGGCTGACACTCATCTCTGATGTCAGTCACCCCCTCTGAGGAATCCACTTGGAAAGGGCATCAGGAGTGGCGCAGAGCCTGCCGAAGCACGTGGTTTGCGTCCTCTCCATGCGACAAAGGACCTGGACTTCCAGGAGTCACATGGGGTGCTGTGCAGGGCAGGGTAGCAATGTTCCACAGAAGCTGGTCAAAAGCTGGAATATCATTAAAGATCACAATATACCACAATACCAGGTTCAATTATTTCTAAGGAGGCAAAGCTTTAAGCTTAGCTGATAATTAACATCTTCAAAAACAAGCAAGGATTTGATATATGTATACCAGATGCACACACACACACACACACACACACACACACAAACAGGCATATATATATATATATATATATATATATATATATATATATTTCTTATGTATGTGTGTGTGTTTGAACATTCAGAAATATCATTAAAATACCACTAAAAATGAAATCATGTCGCTACGACAAGATTAAATTTTTAACAAGGAAAAAATTGCCAAGATACACAATGTTTCCATTTTATCCCTCAAAATGAATCAGACTTGCTTTTCTAAATTTTTTCACTTAATATGCATCTAAAACAATCTTTTATAGTAACATGAACTATTTTCACCTTGGTCCTCTACCTAATGTATAGGAAAACATTAACTTCACATGCCACAATTATTTTTATAAAATGTCTAATGTCTCCTCCAAGAGTAGTTAGGGAATTTTGTTTCTGCACATTACTGCCATTGGCAACTACATATTTTAGAAATTTACTGTGAATTTCTTATTTTCCAGTCAGTCTCACCCAAATGTTTCAAGTGCAAAGCGCTGGCCTCCCACTGTCTTCCCCCAACCCAGGTCTGTATCCTGTCCCATCTCCCCTGCACCTGGCATTGCACAGGAGGCGTGGGTGGCAATGTCCCCTAAAAGCTTCTGCAAGGCTTAGCTTCCTGCTGTGCTGTCTGTCCCTCTATGAATAAAGGCAAAATGTCAAGAAAAGGATTCAACTGTCTTGTATCTAAAACCAGGTATTTTCTTTCAGGTAACCCTGAAAATTGAGAGATTTATAATTCCATCATCTATGTATTTTTTTCCCCAGGAAAGGCACCAAACGGGTTGCATGTGCAGATCTTTAGATATAATACATTAGGGAAAGGATCTGGGCTGATGATGCCAGCGCCTAGCCCAAGCCCCGGCTGAGAATAACGGGGCAGTACAAGATGAACAGAGAGGGATGGAGTTGAGGGAGGGGGATGCAAAGAATGATGGCCAAGAAGTCACCTTAGGGGAAAAACATAAGAATAATTCTTGCTTGCAAAAGTAAACTGCAAGGAGATGACTAACCAGCAGGCAAAAATATTACAGTATGCTAATACCAAGTGTCGAGAGGAATATGAAGCAAGATAACTCAAATACGCTTTTGAAGGAAATATACCAGGCTTCATTCATTCTGAAGTACCCCTTATTTAAGATACTCCATTATATTAAATACAATTCCAAAACAAAAAAATCAAAAAACAACAAAAAACCCACTAACCCAATAATTTTTATCATTTGTATGTTACACACATTGAAAGATATATTTTTGACTTTTTAAGAGAAGGATTTTTAATGGTACATCACTCTTGTGCATAAAAAATAAAATTGATTACAATGTTTCTGACAGTCACAGTCTGACTTTTCTGAGTCCTGTTTGAAGCTCACTCATTGGTGCCCATATTTTTCCACACTCTGTAACCTCTCTGCCATTCAAAGCATTGGTCGTACAGCAGTTTTGACACTGTCCACACTCCTCTTCTAGAGAAGGGTCCTGTGTTTCCTCCCATTGACGTGGCAGCTGTGACTGCTTGAACTAATAGACTCCAGTGGAAGTGGCACTGTGACTTCCAAGATGATGTCATCAAAGCTCTACAATTTCTGCCTTGCTCACTGAAAATATTCACTATGGAACTCTGGGCCACCTGTGAAAGCCCAAGCACCCTGAAGCCGCCATGCTGGGAGGGAGCCCAGGTCACAAGGGGAGCCCACACGCAGGGCCTCCATTCGCAGTCCAGCTGAGCCCAGCTTTTGAACCCTCCTTCCCTGAAGCCACACTTGTGAGTGGGGCAGCCTCCAGATAATTCAAGTCATGCTGGGCTGCTCAAGTCTTCCCATTGGGGGCCCCAGACATGCGGAGCCCTCCCCACTCTGCCCTGAGTGCCTGATCCTCAGAACCTGTCAGCGTGATAAAATGGGCCTTGTTCTGCATCCCTAAGTGTGGGGTGGTCCGGTGTACAGCAGTAGATAACCGAAATGTCCCTAGTTCACAAGGATACTGGTAACACTGTAGTTTCCATCTCCTTTCAGATCTACCATGCCCTGAGGGACTTCAGCATCACACAAATGACCTTTCTCTACCAACACTCTGCCCTCCCAGTCCTTGATCTCGTCACTCACAGTGATGTCCTCACCTAAGTCACCTGGACTAACTCTTCTAGTGAACAAACGGCAGGTCTGGGGGGTTTAAGGGACACTGTGAGGGCTGTGGTAAGGGAAATGGAGGGTTCCTCTTGTAGCCCCTCCAAAGGTCCTGTGCCTCCCCCTGGTGTTGTCAACACGCAGGACACTGGGAAGAGCTGCAGGTCACAAAGTCACCATGTCAACCTTCCTGTCAATCGTAACAGAGAATTCTGTCCCCAGGGTGGGGGAAGGGCCAGGCAGGTAGCTGGAAGCAGGTCTGCCAGAGCCTAGTCCCTGCGATCTTAGTCCCTGCGATCTGGAGAGGTACCTGGCGGAGAGCCGCAGTGCGCACTGGTGACAGGGCAGGAGAAGGGGTTGTGGCCCCTGGGCGCAAGGGGAGGTGGCAGAGAAGGTGGCCACAGGTGGCCTGTGCTCAGCCTATCTGGGCCCTTGCACAGGGACCCAAGAGTGAGGTGGGGTTACAGGGATGGCCAGATAATGAGGAGCCACAGCCCCCAGGGACCCTGCGTCCTGCTCTTCCTGCTGCTGCTGCTGCTTCCTCTGCCACCTTTTAGAGCAGGAAGACTTCGGTACCGTGGACCTGGCTGGAGAATCCTCAACCGCCTGGCCATGGGCTCCAGGAGGGCCCACCACCGCAGTGGCCTCGGCCGGGGGCCGCACTGGCGCCAGGCGCAAGAGGGAGAGGGTCACAAATGCAAGGGTTCATTTGACCTCTACTTCATCTTGGACAAGTGAGTGTCCCTTCCAGCTCTGGTCCTGGGTTGCCCTCAAGAGCCACCACCTCTTTTTCACTAGGGACAAGACACCACCCAAGAAGATGCAAGCTTCTGTCAGAGAAGCAGGGCCAACCCTTTGGTCAGAGCAAACCTAGGCCTCCTGTTTTCTGAAGCAGAAAGAATCCCCTGGCTGTCTTTTCCCTGGTGCTTCGTCTCTTTGATTGGGAAAAAAGCCACCAAAGTTCTAGATGATTCCCTGTCCCTCCATCAGCTCAGTCAGCATCCTCATCCTCAGGCCCCTGCAACAGCTGATTGCTTGGACCTGCCTGTCATTAGTTCTCAGAGGCTCACTGTGGATATTTGGGGGTTTTTTGTTGTTTTGCTTGTTTGTTTTTTCACGCAAGTAACTCTTATTTTACTGGGCACCAGAGAGATTGCTTTGTTGCCTGTGTTGGGTATTCTAATGTCACTGCTTAGAGAAGGGCTTTGGATGGCTGCTTCTAAGTGCTTCTTCTGCATCTTGGAGAGCCACGTGGCAGTTCTTGCGCTTTCAGTAACAGTTTGGTCTGTTTCAGGGTGGCCCTGGGGAAGCAGGGCTGTGCATTAGGCACCTTCTGGCTCACCGAAGGAAATGGGCAAATGTTCAGCTTTGGAGAGATTGTCTTGTTTCCGTTTTCCACTCCTCCTGCCGGGTGGGAACACACACTGCTTATTCACTAGCAGCAGTGGTGCAATTTTCAGGAGAATGTAGCAGCACTTTCTGGTTTCCAAAGTCCTTCCCCTGCACTCCTGGCACCCTCAGCACAATCCTGGGCTGTGAGTAGTGCAGGTATTTTTCTATCTGGTTCCTGGACAAGTGTGGCCCAGGAGGATGGGCAAGCACCCAGAGACAGCTGGTGTGGCAAGACTCAGCTTCCTGTGTGCACTCTTTCCAGCATCACAGGTTGAAGTCCCTCTGATTTTTGTCATTCCCCCTGATACTGATGCTTAGAGGGGTGTGCACCCCAGCCCACCAATTCTTATGGTCTGTGGCTGCTCAGCTACTCTTGGGGAAGGAGAAACTCCATTCTGGAGACAGGAAGACTCCACTCACTAGCCACATAGTCGTGGGCAAGTGGCTTCGTCTTTCTGTGCCTCCATGTCCCCATCTGTAAAAAGGGTATCTTCATTTTCACCTTGCCAAGTGTGATGAGGATGAAGGGAGGTTTACAGGTCAGAAGCGGTAACAGAGGAGGGTAATGAAGGGACCTGCCAGGCAAGGCAGAACCACGGGCTGGAAACTCACAGGAACTGCAGAGGCCCTGATGCAATCCCAGACAATCGGATGAGGGGGAATGCAGAGGGAGTGCCTAGAGTGGATGTAAAGAGAACAAACAAAAGCAACTTTAGTGAGTCTACCTAGCAAGGCTGGGGGTAAAGGATATTGTCCCATTGTAAGGAGAGACAATGAGGCAGCCCATGGCCAGAGAATGACCCACCGCAGCCTCCAGATAGACATCCATGGCACTGAACTGAAGCTCCGAACTGTGTGATTCCAAAGCCCATCCAAAGACCACGCAGCTGGGCAAGACCCTGAGCATCCTGTGGTAGTCCTCCAGGCAGAAACAATGTCTACTGCCTGCAGGGAGGCTGTTTGTCATTCATATCCCGCTTGTTCATGAGACTCATTATTCATTTGTTCATTCATTGGATTGAATTAGAAGAAAATGAGTCAGCCTCCCATGCACTCCCATTCTTGGCCAGGTGACCTTTGAGGGCTCTAAGAGGGAGTGACCCCTGGTATTTTTTTAGTAATTTTTTAATCATGGGAAAATGTACTTTAAAAAAATGTACCGTGTGTGTGTGTGTGTGTGTGTGTGTGTGTGTGTGTGTGTGTGTGTATTTGAGATGGAGTCTCTCTCTGTCACCAGGCTGGAGTACAGTGGTAAAAAAAATGTACCGTGTGTGTGTGTGTGTGTGTGTGTGTGTGTGTGTGTGTGTGTATTTGAGATGGAGTCTCTCTCTGTCACCAGGCTGGAGTACTGTGGCAAGATCTCGGCTCACTGTGACCTCCACCTCCCAGGTTCAAGCAATTCTCTTGCCTCAGCCTCCCATGTAGCTGGGATTACAGATGCATGCCACCACACCCCGCTAATTTTTGTACTTTTAGTAGGGACAGAGTTTCACCATGTTAGCCAGGATGGTCTTGATCTTTTGACCTCATGATCTGCCTGCCTCAGCCAAAGTACTAGGATTACAGGCATGAGCCACCATGCTCAGCAAAAATTTACCATTTTTAAGTGTTCAATTCAGGAACATTAAGTATATTCACAGTGTTGTGCAACCACCACCATCCATCTCCAGAAATGTTTCATCATTTGTACCGAGCACAACATCACTGTGTTTCATCATTCCAGCTATTCTCAGCCGGAAGCAGTAGCTCACTCTTGTAATCCCAGCAATTTGGGAGCCAAGGCAAGATGACTGATTGAGTCTAAGAGTTCAAGATCAGCCTTGGAAATATGCAAAATCCTGTCTATACAAAACATATGAAAATTAGCCGCCATAGCGATGTGCACCTCTACTCCCAGCTACTCAGCCTGGGCTGAGGCAGGAGGATCTCTTGAGCCTGAGAGGTTGAATCTGCAGTGTGTCAAGATCACACCACTGCACTCCAGCCTGGGTGACAGAGTGAGACCCTGTCTCAAACCACCCCACCTCCACGAAAACCCAAAAAAAGCCTCTATTCTCGTTAAACAATAACTCCCCATTCCTCCCTTCCACAGGCCCTAGTCATCTTTAGTGTATTTTCCCTATCTATAAGTTTGCCTATTGTAGGTACCTCATGTAAGTGGAGTCACACAATAGAATCACACAAACATATAACATTTGGCCTTTTCTGTCTGGCCTTTTTCACTTACCACAATGTTTTCAAGGTTCATCCACGTTGTATCATCCATCAGAATTTCATCCTTTTGTGGCTGAATAACACTCTGTATGGACATGTACCACATTTTGTTCATCTTTTTATCTGTTGATGGACATTTGGGCTGCTTCTGCCATTTGCTTATTATTAATAATGCTGCTTCATGTGTAATAATGAACACCCATGCACACGTATCTCTTCGAGTCCCTGCTCTCACTGCTTTTTGGTATATACCTGGCAGTGGAATTGGTGGATCCTATCGTGATCCTATGTTTAGCTTTCTGAGGAAATGCCAAGCTGTTTCCCGCAGTGGCTACACCATTTGGCATTCTGACAAAGGTCCAGCATTTATTAGTTTCTGGTTTTTAATAATAGCCACCCCAATGGGTATGAAGTTGTATCCCCTTTTGGCTTTCACCAGCATTTCCCTGGCGACCAGTGACGTGCAGCATCTTTTCCTGTGCTTACTGGCCATTTGCAGATTTTCTTTGAAGAAATCTCTATTCAAATCCTTTGCCCATTTTTTATGTGTTGCATTTTTTTGTCGTTTCTTTTTCATCATTGTTGTAGGAGTTCTTTGCATGTTCCGGATACTAATCCCTTACAAGGTATGTGAGTTGTAAATATTTTCTCCCATTCTGCACGTTATCTCTTCACTTCCTTGTAGCGTCCTTTGACGCACAAAAGGTTTTAATCTGGATACAGTCTCATACAGTCTCAACTTTTCTATGTTTAATTTTGCTGCCTGTGTTTTTGATGCCATATCCAAACACAAATCCACAGATCCAGTGGCATAAAGGTTATGCTTCCTGCTGAGAGTTTAAGAGTTTTAGTCTTTACATTTAGGTCTTTGACTCACTTTGAGTTAATTTCTGTGGTGGTGGACGGAAGGGTCCAACTTCATTCTTTTGCACATGAACATCCGTTTTTTGAAAGTTCTTCGCACACTGGTTGGAAATCATTTGACCACAGACATGAAGGGTTCTTTCTGAGCTCTCTATTCTGTTCATTGCTCTACATGTCAGTCCTTAAGTCAGTGCCATAATAGTTTGATTACTGTCACTTTGTAACGAATTCTGAATTCAGGAAGTGTGTGTGTATTCTCAAACTTGCTCTTCTTTTTTTAAGATTTTTTTGTTTTATGACTATTGAAATTCCATATGAAGTTTATTGCAATTTTTTTTATTTCTGTAAAAAATGCTGTAGAGATTTTGATACAGATGACATTATCCTAACATTATTATTGTGTCTTCTGATTCATAAGCATGCAGTATCTTTCCATTTATTGTGTCTTTAAATTCTTTCGGCAATGTTTTATAGTTTTCAGTATACATTTCTTTTGCTTCCTTGTTTCAATTTATTCCTAAGTATTTTGTTCTGTTTGATGCTATCATAAATGAAACTTTTTTTGTTGATTTTCCTTATTTGGATTGTTCATTAGGGGTTTTTCCAACTAATACATCCACCCCAATTTCTTCTCTACACAATGCCCCACCTACCTGATCAGCCACCTGGAGGGCCAACAAAAGCCCCACATCCCAGGAAGTTCCTCAGTCCCCGGCAGATGGGACTGGGTCGTCACCTTATGGTGGACACTCAACTGGTGAAACTCATGACCTCGGATGATCCAGTGGTCACTTGGGGTGTACCCCAGCCTCAGTGGTGATGGGGTCAGGAGAACTTCTTAAGAGCCTACTGGGAGACTGGGGAGGGTAGACACCTTCCCACCTGACAGATGCACTCATCTCCCTGACCCACATCTCCTTTTGTTTTAGGTCTGGCAGCGTGAACAACAACTGGGTTGACCTTTATCTGTGGGTGGAGGAAACAGTGAAGAGGTTCCAAAGGTACTGATCTCTGCATGGCAGCCTCCCCTGAGCTGCAGGGAGCTTTTCCTCTGGCAGGCAGAGGGCACATCCCATCAGATAGGGTAGGCGTGGGAGTCCCTTGGTGGGGGACACAGAGCAGAGGGTGGCATTCTGAAGCAGGAATGAGGCCAGCGCTCACTGGTTCCATCGGGTCTTGGCCGTCTTGGCTGGCTCCTACCTATGAACCTGGGCATATTTTAGGGAAGGCTGTTTGCCCTTGGGGACATCTCAGACTGGAAAGGGACATTAGGCAGGTAAAGCAGTGACTCAGTCCTGGAACCCCAAGTTACACAATGCTGAGGGTTCAAGTAGGAGACAAAGAACTCACATGGAAGGTTAAAGGAAAACAAAGTCAAGGGTGGCTTCCAGGGAGGTAGGTCTTTGAACTGGGTCTTGCGGGATGGGAAAGACAGGGGCCCTGTGGTGGAGTGAGTGGTCTGGCTTGGCTGGGAATGGGGTTAGCTCAGGGAGGGCTGGGAGAGGGCTGGGCAGGTCAGCTTGAGGCCAAAGCCACTGAGGCTCATTTTGCCAGACCAAGGAGCGGGGATTTCCTGCTGTGAGCCATAGAGAGCCAGAGAAAGCTCTTGAGCAGGGGAGTGGCATGATCAAGGTGGCACTTAAGGAAGAAAAAGTCTGATGACTGCAGGTAAAATGAATCAGCAACAAGGGCAGGAGCCGTGGGGCGCTGGGGACGAATGGCAGCACTGTCGCTGAGGGCCAGTGACGGTCAGCCGGCAGGAAGGAGGGTCAGGGAGAGGAAAGGGGGGCTGGATGCATGGCAGCTGATAGGGAGAGTCACTCTTCTGAGATGGAGGAGGGATGAGAGGGAGGAGGGGAGGAGGAGACAGGGGGAGGAGGCAAAGAATTTTCCAGTAGAAGGGAGGCCAGCTGGGAGGGCTGTGTGTGTGTCTCCCTGCCTGTTCATTGTAGGATTTGTGTATCTGTGTGTTTGTGTGTGCATGTGCCTGGTGGGGGTGCTTGTGAGTGTGTGCATGTGTGGGTGCATGTGTGTGGTGTACCTGTGTGTGTGTTGTGCGTGTGATCGCATGTGTGCATAAGTATGTGTGTGCATGTGTGTGTGTGCCTCTGTGTGTGCATGTGTGCATGTGCAAGTGTCTTTGGGGTGTTAGGAGTGTGGGATGCAGTGAGTCACCATCCTGACGCTCTCTTCTGTGGGGCCCTTGTTTCCACAGGCCTCAGAGTGCTCCACTACGTTTATTTCAACCCCTTGTGTCCAGCAAGAGGCCCCAAAGCGGAAGAGTTGGGTGGGAGGTGGGGAATTGGTCTCACAGTCCTGGCTTCTGAGCCGGTGCCTCTGGCTTCTCACCAGCACATGATTCCTCCTCAGCCCGAGTATACGGATGTCTTTTGTCACCTACTCCACGGACGGTGACACCGTCTTGGCGCTCACCTCAGAAAGGTGAGTTGGTTGGAGCCCCCAAGGGAGGCCTGGTGAACTGGGCCAGAGGGAGCTCCAGGAAGCTGAGGGGCTCCCTGAGACCTTGGTTGGGACTCCAGAGAGCACACAGGGCAGGCCGGTCAGGGCAACTCACAGAACCTGCCCTGACCTCACCCGGCTCCCCTGCATCCTCCTACCCGTGGCTGCAAGGTTCCCTGCAGACCCCTGTGCTCCAGAAGTTCTCAGCCTCCCCCTCTTCACCCTCCCCTGCCCTCCCTCTGCCCTGCCTCCTTCCCTGGGAGGTGGCTGTGAAAATTCCCGGGTGCAGGGGCTGGCGGGGCAGGGGGGTGTGTCCTGTGAACACCGGCTGTGCTGGCTGCTGCTCTGTGCCTGTTCCCTTTGCCCTGGCCAGTGCGGGAGGGAGACAAGGTCAGAGCCGGTGGTGGGAGTCCTGGGCTTTCTTAGTGCAGAGATGATGGCAGGCTCAGACAGGGGAGTCCCTGGGTGGGGTTCTGAGCTCAGGCCAGGCTGGGAAACTGAAGGGAGGCAGGAGGAGCAAGCTCAAGAGGCTGGAGGTGGCCTAGAGAGGTGCCCGGGTCCAGCAGGGGGCACTGCAGAGTTCCTGTGTGGCGGCAGCTGAGGGCACTTCCAAGGTGCATGACCGGAACTGGGCCAGGAGGAGGTGAAGGGCAGAAGAGAGGTGAGGACGCTGAGGACTGGATGGGGGCCTGGGCCCCACTTGCAGCTTTGAGGGAATACAGGGTGGGCTGTGGCATCTGATCTGTGGGGAGCTTGGATCTGTGTGTCCTGTGCTGTGGGTTTGGGAGAGACTGGAGTGGGTGTGAGGTGGTAAAAAGGACTCTGTCCGCAGTGGGAAACCAGCCTTCAGGGTCCATGCTCTGACCAGCCTTGCTGTGCAGGATCAGCCCATCACATTGGATTAGCCTGACCCTAAGTCTCAGGCTGGTCCCAGACCCGTCCCAGGCCTGTCGTCAGAGCCAGCCCTGCCTGCCCCAACCAGTCCTGTCTGCTTTAACAGCAGCTGACAGACCACATCTCCCAGTCAGTCTGCAGATCGGTGCTCAGCTCCCGCATGCACAGCCGTGGGGGCTGCCTCTCCAGCCTTTGGTCTTTTTGTTGCAGGGGCACAGGAAGTCAAGGAGGCCAGGCACTCTAATTAAGCAGATTCGCTACTTCCTGTAGCCGGGTAAAGAGAGAGGAGGCAACTGAGTGAGATCAGGGGTCTGGGGCTGTGGGGACTGGGTTCAGGGCTAGGGGCTTCTTAGCAGGATGACTTTTCCCAAATCCAGCCCTACCTGTTAAAGGACAGGGTGCCCAACACAAGGAAAATCTTGTTAGGGTTAGTTTAGGATTAGGGTTAGGGTTAAATATAGGGTTAGGTATATGAACCTTGTTGCTAGTGGCTCTCAGTTGCCCACCTCTGGTTCAGGGTTAGGGTTAGGGTTAGAGTGATGAATGTCAACCCCGTTGCCTGTTGCTGACTCTCCGATGCCCATCCCTGGTTCAGGGTTAGGGTTAGGGTTAGGAATGTTAGCCCTATTACAGTTCCTGACTCACAGTTGCTCATCCACAGGAACCTCCACTGTCACCAGAGATGGTCCAAGCGTGGCCCTGGTGACGTTCCCCAGACTTGCATTCTGTGGATCTGGGATGAGCTCAACAGGCCTTGAAATCTCTGGTCAAAATCCCATTGAGGAATGAGCAGGACAGAGCCCTTACCTGGCCCCCTCCCCCATCCAGGAGGGCCTGCATGGTGAACAGTGGCTCCCAGAGAGCTTGGGAGCTGATTTTTAACAGTCAATGTCTTTCCAGGTCAAGCACAATTTTTCATTTTTTTTCAGCAAGAAAATAAAGGAGGGTCTTCAGAGGCTTGAGAAAATTGTTCCTGAAGGACATACATACATGCAGGCAGGATTTAGAAAGGTATAGACCCCTTAAGCTCCAAGAATCAATATTAGTTTACAAGGTCTTAGAGCATCAGTGAGATCATCTCACTGTCCAGGCTCTACACTTCTTCAATTTCTTGCAGGTAATTCGGCAGATGGAAATGAACAACTACGGAAGTAAGCACCTGCCGTCCCCACGGTGGTCCCGTAGGGGTAACAGAGCTGGGCGTGGGGTTCAGAGAGCTCTGTGTGCAGATTTCGCAAGGCCACGCCTGCCCTTCCTCTTGCAGCAAGTTGCTCATCTGCTCTGAGCTCCAGGTCCCCCCTGGTGCAATGAGCATAGTAAACCCCTACGCCATGTGGTTCTGAGAACTGCGTAGGATCCTGTGTGTGCAGTCCTGGTGCTCGTAACCCTCCGGCGCTTGCCCACCAGCTGGGCTGTGTGTGAGGGAGAAGAGCCAAGGCGTTGGCTCCCTTGCACACACCTTAGTCCTTCTCCTCCCTTCCTCATCTCCCCTCCAAGTGTCCTGCATCTGCTGCCCGTGTCTCAGATGGTGCAGAAAGCTTTCCACACCCCCAATCCTCCTCCCCGCTGTGGGGCTGCAGCTTTTGCCAGGAAAAGGTGGGGTTGGTGAGGAAAGGCATTGAAGTGGCTTGGGGTCCCCTGCCCACATGCCACTGACCTGGAGTCCTGAACTCCTGGGCCCAATGAAGCTGGCAGGATTGCTTGCAGGCTCTGCTCACAGCAGGACCCGCCCCCAGGAGCCTCCATGAACCTGTGGGTAACAGGAGGGCCCCGTGGCTCCTCCCTCTGCCTGCGGAACAGGCCTTTGCTTGTGGAGTCCTGCCTGGAGCTGTCCTCAGGCAGAGGCAGTGCAGGCTGCTAGTGGGTGAGGGTTCAGGCAACCTGGTGGGAAAGACCCCGCCCCTCTCAGTCCCTTCTCTGTAAAATGGGTGCTGGACTGAGACCTCCTTCACTCTAGGGGTCTCTGTGTGGCAGGTGCTTGGGTCTTGGCAGCCTCTCCGCTGGAGGATGAGCTGGGGTCACCAGGTCATGCCCTGGAATGGGCAGTATTGTGGGCCCCGCCACCTGCAGGGGTTACGGATCGTCTGGAGGTCACTTCTGGGGTCTTTGCTGAGCAGGCCACTCTCTGCTTCTTTGCAGACAACAAAGCTACCAGCATGATTATTGCTATGACTGATGGAGAACTAGTGGCATTTGCATTTCGGGACACTCTTATAGAAGTGAGTCCAGTTCATAGACACCAGCATTTCGATCCACGTATTTTGATGACTCTTACTCAATGCCTTCTTTCCCTTAGGCTGAAAAGGCTCGGAAACTGGGGGCCAACATTTACACCGTGGGTGTAGCTGATTATAATCTGGACCAGGTAATTCCAAACAGGAATTCCAAACAGCAGAAGGGGCCACTTTTGAGCCTAGTGGGGAAAGGCATCCAAGGTGGCTTTCCCAGGGCCACCCCAAGGACGGTTGTCTAAGCTGCCCCAAGTGAGTTGGGCCAACTCATGGCCACTGCAGAAGTGACACACTCCAAGGGTGGGCTGCTGACTGGAGAAGGCTGTGACATTCAGAGCCTGACATTATGCTGCCCGCAAAGGATGGGGGCAAGACACTGTCCCCTGGGATGGGGGCCTGCTGCATCCTCACCTGCTGGCAGGGAGTCCAGGCCACTTCCCCTCTCTGTAGATAACAGCAATTGCAGACAGCCCTGACAACGTGTTTGCGGTGGATAACGGCTTCAAGGCCATGAAAGACACCGTTGATTCCGTGAGTAGGTGGATGTGAGGGGCTGGGGACCTAGTGCCTGTGGCCAGGAGCTCATTCCCCCTGCCCCGCCCCACCCCTCATGTGTTCCAGCTCACCTCAAAGGTCTGTATTGACGTGACATCGGTGGAGCCTCCCACTGCGTGTGTAGGAGGTGAGAGCTGCAGAGGCCCTGCTGTAGCCAAAGAGCTGTGCGCACGAGTGCATGCGTGTATGGAGGATGTGCATTTGTTTGGTATGTATGGGGAAGGATGTGGGTGGGGACTGTGTAAGTGTGGTATGTGTGTGTGGTGTGTATGTCTCTGGTGTGTGTGCTTTGTGTGTATGTAGTTTGCATGGGTGTAGGATGTGTGGGAAGGTGTGCTGTGGGAGGCTGCATGTGTGTGAAGTCTGGGAGAGTGTAGTATGTGGTCTGTGTGGTGTGGAAATGTGTGTGTGATCTGTGTGTTGGGTGTGGATATGTGCTGTGAGTGTGATGTGTGTGGGGTATGCATGAGAACTGCATCTGTGTGTGTTGTTTGGTGGGGTATATGTTCTGTGCGAGCTGAGGAGCTGTGTAATATGTGTATGGGGGTGTGAGTGTATATACGGGGCATATATGCATGTGTGTGTGTGTGTGTGTGGTGTATGTGCAGAGTGTGTGGCATGAGTGGGAGTCTTATGGGAGTATGTGGGAAGGCTGCCTGATGTGTGGGAAGGGTGTCTGGTGTGTAGGTATATGTTGTCTAGTGTATGTGTGTGTGTGTGTGTGTGTGTGTGTGTGTGTGTGTGTTCTGTTGGAAGTTGGGAGTGTGTTGCTGACGTGAGTGGTGTGTGTATGGAATATGTGGTGTGTCTTCGGTGTTTTTGTTGGATGTGTGTTTGCTATTTATGTGTGTGTGTGGTGTGTGGGTGTGTGTGCTTCAGGTGTGCATCGTGTGGTGCGATGTGTGTGGTATGGGGTGGGTTGTGTGTGTTTGTGGTGCACTGTGCATGGGTGGGTGGGTGCGGACATGTGGCCCCCGTGGGTGTGTACATGAGTGTCTATTGGGGGATAATGTGTGGGGGTGCTAGTGTGAGCACCTGTGTACCATCAGCGTGTTGTTATCTCACAACAGTAAGTTTAGCTGTAAAGCCAGAAAAGGCATGTGTGAGAAGCTCTCAGGGAAACACCAGCAAATGGCATGGAGCAGCAGCAAACCCGCCCACAGGCCAGGAGCAGCCAGGGCTCCTCCCAGGAAGGCCAGGCAGGTGCAGGAGCTGAAATACCTGTGCAATTTACCACAACAGCAAAATGGGGAACAGGAACCAGGCAATGTTCTCAGGGGATGAGGAAGAAGAAGTGGGAGTGTCAACGTACCACAGCACTCTGGGAGCAGGAAACCTCCATAGCCCAACAAAGGCGTCCACACAAACACCCTTGGTTCCCTCAGTCCCACAGGATAAATCCCAGCACCCATCCCTGCTGTCCAGGATGTGGCGAGTATGCCCTCCTGCCAGCCAGGGTCCCTGCATGGGTGGTGACAGCCCTGTGTGGGCCTCTGTGATACCTCGGTTTGTCCTGAGCTCTGTCTGTGCGTGCTGGGGTTCTGCATGGCCGGCATCTGCACAACTGTGGCTGCTGGAGAGGTAGGGAGCCCTGGGCGTCCTCCCTCCATGGGGACAGCACGAAGCCCTTAGCAAGACCACCAGACCCTCAAGCAGCTGGGCTCTGGCCTCCCGGTTCCTCACGGCAGGACACCCTGGCAGTGGGCTGTGGGGACAGACACATGATCCATGTCTGAGTGCTGCTCCCCATAGGCACATGGCCAGGAGCAAAGTGTGCAATGCCAGCCAGCTCCAGAGGTGCCTCCCATGAGCAGAAAGGACGCTGCCAGGCCTGTTGTGAGCCCCACGACACTGGGCCGTGCGGGACTGGCACAGGACTGAGAGCTGGTAGGTCCCAGGAACAGGAGCTGCACTGACACTTCCATGATTGGTCCTGGGCTCTGGTCCCCACCCTGCCTCTCCCCAATGCAGTGCTGAGGGTGGAGGTGAAGGAGAGAGCTCCCCTTCCCCTTGGGGAATCTTTCTGCTGCTCCTGCTGTAAAGCCACCCAGCCATGCAGCCATCGTGACAGCCGTGCTCCTCTGATGATGTCCCTGCACACACACCGGCTGTGGCATCTGAGCAGCCCTGTCAACCCCAGGTGAGGATGTGAGTTGGCACTCCTCCCTGGAGGCAGCTGAGTCGAGGTGACTGGTATCCTCTGCCCACCAGGTTGGCCCTCTGCCTCTGCCCATGTGACCCGCCAGTCACAGCCCTGACCTATAAACTGTTCGCTGACTTGGGCAAAGCTGCCCCACACAGAGGATGACAGTCACTGGAGGGAAAGGCCAAGGCAGGAGCCTTGAACCCCAATGCAGCAGAGTGAGCCTTCTCAGCAGGCTGCCACCTAGAGGCCAGGAGGGCTCCAGGGAGCCCAGGAAGGAGGCCAGGGAGGGAGGCATACAGCCCAGACTCCCCGTTCAGCCCTGGGCCTCATATCCAACCTGGCAGAGGCCTCTGTTGGCCTCACTTCCCCAGGCCCGTCCTGAGCCCATCCCCCACACATGGCTTCAGGGTTTTAGCAGACACCTCCCTCTCCAGCCTGGCAGGACCCCCAGGCCCTCCAAGGGCCACTCCCTGCTCTGGGCCCTGTGTGCAGAGGTGGGACCAGGTAGAGCATAGGCACTCTGCAAGCCCTGCCTCAGCTTGAAGGGCCGAGACTACCTGTCCTTTGCAGCCCTGCTCGAAGGACACCTTGTCCTGGAAACCCTCCCTGATGACCAGCCCCTCTGACTCCCTGCAGCCCAAGGGCTTGATCTGTCCTTCCCATCAGCCACTTGTCACCCAGACTGTACCATGTCTTCTAGTTGGCTATGTCTAAGGCATACTTTTCACATCTATAGGTGAATGGAAAGGATTGTACAATGAACATAAACGCACCTACATCCGCCACTGGGATTCTACAATGAATGTTTGCCCATGCTCCTTTGTCTCTGTCTCCCTTTCTCTCTTTTGTTTTCATTTTCTATTTATTTTTTTGGAGTTTCATTTTTGTTTCCCAGGCTGTAGTTGGCTCACTGCACCCTCGGACTCCTGGGTTCAAGTGATTCTCCTGCCTCAGCCTCCCGAATAGCTGGGATTACAGGCATCCACCACCAGACCTGACTAATTTTTTGTACCTTTAGTAGAGACAGAGTTTAACCATGTTGGACAAGCTGGTCTCAAACTCCTGACCTCAGGACCTGCCTCAACCTCCCAAAGTGCTGGGGTGACAGGCATAAGCCAGTGCGCCCGGCCGCCCCCTCTCTCTTTTCATTCATCCACCTTGAGAAAAAAAAAAAAAAAAAAAAAATGCTTGCCTGCAATACACAGTCCTAACACAGCCCAGAATGTAGTCTGCAATTACCCCATCCATGGAGCTTTGGGGCAGCCCTCAGCCCTGCTCAGGGTGGCTGAGTTGGGCTGACCAAGGGTTGCAGGCCACAGGCCCAGCTGCTCCCTCCCAGGCATACACTGAGCCCGGTGTCTGGCTGGCCAGGGCTTTGTGGAAGCCCGAGTGGGGAAGACACTGAGAGTATAGCCTGGCAGCATCAGATTTGGAAGGAGCTGCTGTCAGCCTTAGTGGCAGGAGAGGACCGCTTGCTTGTCCTGCGGGGGCCCAGGTCTGGTTGTTCAGAACAGGGCACCAAGCTGGCCCTCCCTGCTCTCTCTCTCTCACAGCCTCAGTGCCCCCAACAGTCCCAGGCTCTTCCTAGGATAGCATAGTGTCTATCAGCTGGATGCCCATAAGGGCTGGGCTGGCACCTTGAACAGGTGAATCAGTCCAGGCCCAGCCAGCTGATGTCATCAGTCAGCGTGGGGGGTCTTGGAGTGGGGCGGGCCTGGGAGCTCCTCATCTGAGGAGGGCGGTTCCCTAGGCCCCACCCAGGAGCTGACATGGAGAAACACCAATGCACTGAGGCCTGCATTTCCCATTCTCCAAGAAAGCTAGAAATCTGGATATTTAGGGGAAATGTTCAGGCTTGTAACTGTGGGCTCCCATTTTTGAAAATACTTGAAAGCCTAAGAAAGCATGTCGGCAGGCCGGCTTCACCCACAGCCCGCCTTGAAGGCACGGCGCTGCAGGAAGGCAGGAAGCAGGGTTCAGAGGAAGCTTTCCTTGGGTGCATGAACCGGGGCAGCCCAGGCATCAGCAGGGATTAGAATGAGCAGGCCTGGGCCAGGAGGAGGTGAGGGGAGGCCAATTCCCTTGGCAGCTCCAGGCCTGTGGGAACCCCAGCTGGCTCCTGGGGCCAGCCCCACCTGCCCTGTGTCTGCTGTAGTCTTTGGCTCTGGGCAGGAGCCACACTGGTGGAGGACACACTCCCTGAGCCTCAGGGTGGGTGCCCATGGTCCTTGGTGGGTCAGAAAGAGCAGGAGATGAGGAGTCACCTGTAGGTCTCTGGAATCGCAGCTAACACTGGGCTTCTGTAACAGATTCCCCTGAGCAGGGTCCTAGGTGCCTGACCACCGGAGTCCTGGCCCTGCCCCTGTGGGTGTCCTGCCTGCCACAGGCGCACAGAAAGACGGGGAGGAGAGACCCGAAGTGTTCAGCAGCCCTGAAGGGGGCATCCAGGCCTGGGTGCCCAGCTCAAGCAAGGGACAGGGTGTCTTCAGGCAGCCTTGTGCTCCACTTACACCTCATACCAGGGATGCCTGGCTGAGTGCACAGCCTGCACCCCTGGGGCCTGAGGGAGCACCGCAGATTTCAGGGAGGGAACAGCACGCTGAGCCTGCCCTGTGCAGGGGCCAAGGCCTTTCCTGAGCCCATTGGTTCAGGGAGGGTGGGGACAGGGCCCTTGAGTACTCAAGGCCCAGCCACCTCCTCCTGGACCCTCAGTGACCCTGGATGAAGCTTTGACTTGGTGGACATTCAGATGTTGGTTCAGACACAGCTCCTTCCTTTCAGGAGCCTCTGTGAATTCAGTTTTGAGGGAGGACCTCCAGGAACAGGGAGGTCAGAGGGGAGGCAGCCCCCGACTCTTCCTTACTCAGATTTTTTAATGCTTTCCTTGCAGAACTGTATGAAGTGCTTATTTATGGAAATGGCTTTCAGAATCTAAAGAAACCGAAAGAAGTTATTTGCAGATTTATCTTCACCCAAAGCAAAATCATTGGTGAGTTGTCTCCTCCGTGCCTCTGACTCACATATTTCCCACACAATGCCACCTTTCCCCACAGCCAGCCAAGCTGCCCAGTCCTTGCTGTAGATGTTGTGGAGTTAGAGGCCATGAGGACAAGTGGAAGGAGGCACTGGGAAGCCTGGCCACCCTCCTCCCTTCGTCTGCCAAGTGGAGAAGTAACAAATCTGCCTGTGCCCCAAGAGCATCTCAGATCAGGGCTTCCCCCTCAGTGAGGCTGAGTTTAAGACTGGGTCTGCACTCACAGCTGCATCTGCCCACCTTGGCCTCACTTTCCCCTTTCCTTGAGACCTCAGGACCTGAAGCCTACAAGTCCACTCTGGGGAAATGGTGGCAGCCATTGATTTTGGAAAGTTTGTCAAATATCAAAGGCTTAAAATACTCAATATCACAGGTCTTTGTAAAATAAGTCATTCATTTGACAAAAGTGATAACTCAAGGATTTTTTTAAAAAGGTGAAAACCTTTCTTCTTTGCACAAGAAGACTTAATTTTCTAAACAAGAAGCCCTAATAAAAACAGCATGAAGTCAGTTAAATTTTTCTAAATTTTATAAATAACCTAGAAAATTTAAATCTTGTCTGTAACATATAACTTTCATAGCCCTTTTATAACCTTATTAAGGAATCAGTTAATACTTTAAGAAAACCTTATTAATCAGATTCAGAGGCCCATATGCTGGTCTTGCATCAGTGTGCCTTTGACATTAATAATTAATTTGTAGCCGGGTGCGGTGGCTCAAGCCGGTAATCCCAGCACTTTGGGAGGCCAAGGCGGGTGGATCACAAGGTCGAGAGATCGAGACCAACCTGGTCAACATGGTGAAACCCCGTCTCCACAAAAAATACAAAAAATTAGCTGGGCATGGTGGCGCGTGCCTGTAATCCCAGCTACTCAGGAGGCTGAGGCAGGAGAATTGCCTGAACCCAGGAGGCGGAGGTTGCGGTGAACCGAGATCACGCCATTGCACTCCAGCCTGGGTGACAAAAGCAAAACTCCGTCTCAAAAAAAAAAAATAATTAATTAATTAATTAATTAATTTGTAGAAAAACTGAGCTTATTTTAGCTCTTAACATTGGCCCTTACAATCTCACATGCCCACCTCCTCTGCAATAGTCCCTGGGCCTTAAGGAGTTGAATAGCTTTAATTTCTTACCCTGCATCTCCAGAATGCAGTTTATTTTTATTGGCATCCTCTACCTGGCCTGAAGATGAGGCTTTAATTGTTGTTAGTGTTTAAGATTTAACAGGACTTGGTGTCCTTTTCAGAATCAGGAATCAAAGCCACATAACTTAATGTCACAAGAACTTTAAAAGCATACAAAGAAAGATGCACAGATGTAATAACTTTAATTTAAAAATGTTTTTAATCTGTTTTTTTCCTAAGCAAACCAAAACTTAATCATAATGGCATAGGAATTTTTCTAATAAATCATCAAATCTGTTAGGCCAGTTACCAAAAGGCAAAAGAAAAGAGCCTCTGTACTGCACAGAATATTATGTTGGAAGAAAGCATTTCCTTTAGACCATTAAAAAGATATTGTTAGCATCAGGTCACAACAAACAGAACTTTGAGGAAAAAAAAAACTTAATACAAGCTGAAAATGAGTTGAATGAAAGTGTTACTATTTTTCACCCTTTAAAAGGGTAGAGAAAACCAAAAACAGCGTCATGTCAGAAAAGTTGAACTTTGGGGTAAAAAAATATAATCTCTTATAATTTATTAAGAGGAAACCAACCCCTTGAGAAAATTTTATTGTTCTAGCCAATTATTTGGTATGTAAGTGTTTTCTTTAACATCAAGCCCAATCTCTGGAAAGGCCAATTTCCTTTTAATTATAGACAATTTGATCCTATAAAAAAAAATTTTTTTTAATAAATCCTCTCATTGTGACTTTCACGGACCATTCATGACATACTTGGGCTTTCTTGTTTGTCCTGAATGTCTCTCCTTCTTAAACTATGAGTCATTTTATTCTAGGATTAAATTTACAATACAATATTCTTTCTCAGGTAAAATTAAAATTTTTATTCTCATATAAAATTAAAATTTCAATTGCCAAAAAAATAACTCTTTATTTTCATAACTTTTTTTTTTGAGACGGAGTTTCGCTCCTGTTACCCAGGCTGGAGTGCAATGGCGCGATCTCGGCTCACCGCAACCTCCGCCTCCTGGGCTCAGGCAGTTCTCCTGCCTCAGCCTCCTAAGTAGCTGGGATTACAGGCACGCACCACCATGCCCAGCTAGTTTTTTGTATTTTTAGTAGAGACGGGGTTTCGCCATGTTGACCAGAATGGTCTCGATCTCTCGACCTCGTGATCCACCCGCCTCGGCCTCCCAACATAACTTTCTTTACATCTCTTTTTTTTCCTGGTTCCTTTAACCTTGTTTTGTAAATAACCTTTAAATAAAGTTTCAATTAGACAAAAATTGTTCACTTTTTTATAAAGGACACATATTTATTGAAAGAATGTTTCCCTACAATATATTTTGATTGGAAAATATTCAAATAATGAAATGCCTATTATTTAATTTAGTATAACTTTAGATGCTAAATTATAATGAGTTTAGCTATAAATATTTATCCCATTACGTTTACCCAATTATTTTAATCACTTACCTAGCTTATTTATGAAAATTGTGAGAGTTATCATTTAAAGTTTTGAAACATCCATTGCCAAATTACAACCTAGACAGTGAAAAAGATCTGACCTAACTGATTCCATCTTGCTTCTAACCTCCAAGTTTTCCTTGTTCATTTCTGGGCATCAGGGAGGAACTCAGATTAAAGAACTTACTTTAACAGTATTTTCCCAAAACAAGCCTTACTGCCTGTGGACTAGACTACCTAAAGCCACAAGATTAGAAGTTTTGGTAATCTCACTATATTCAAGATGTAGCTATTTTCATTAAACCAATATCAATGTCTTATTTATTGAATTACAGAAGCAAAGATCATTCTCTTTTGGGCTAGGTTTATAGTTTTGTAACCCCTGTGCCAAATTTTGACACCTTATAGTATTTGTCAGGAATAAGTATGAAATTGTTTGATTAATAAATGTAAACAAAAATGTATGCTGGAAATTTTTAAGACATTTCTTATATTACTTCATCAATAATTTTAAAGCTAGCTTATTTTTTTGAAGATTTTACTTAAGTTACAGAAACTTAAAAAAGGATTTGACTAGTCTTTTATTTTTTCCTGATAAAGTATTTGAATCAAGCATGTTTATTTTCTTGAGCCAATTAATTAGAATTCTTTTATGTATTTTGAGTAGTGAAATCTTGTATACATGACTTACAGATACATAGATGTGTTACACATGTCGATAGAAATATGTCTTATAGATTTATAAAGAACTTTCTTTTACTATCTTAGACTTTCAAGTTCTTGATAACCTGTTTCACTACCCTAGGCAGTTGTCAGCTAAATAGCCTTAAATTTGTGCATTAAACGAAACAACTCAGGTGAAAATCAAATAGCAAAATTTACATCACAAGATATGGAGAGAAAAAAGTCTGGTGTGCTAGAGGGAAATTAAATGGATTTAATTGCCAATTAAACATAAAATTATAGAAGTTATAAAGGCCTTTTAAATATATGCACACACATACACACACATACACACACACACACACACACACACACACACACACACACAGAGATCCTATAGCTTTTACTTCAGAACTTTAGCCATGAGATAAATACAAATTCACTGGAAAAAAAAAAAAACTATTGGTTTCAAACAGTGGTTTTTATCTTAGTAGAAAAATAACAGCAGATTTAAAACAGGCAGAAAAGTAAATAGAGAAAAGGAGAACTTAGGAACTCTATAGTTTGCAGGTCAACCTTAGGGCTGTTTCTTCTTAATGTAAATATGCTCAAAAATATATTACTTCCATTTTACATAAACTCTGGCAAGTAGAGGTGCCATGAAACCTATGGAGTGCTCAAATGGAGGTCATTCTTCTTGTTTCTCCTCATTCTTAGATTATTTGTTTCCCAGTTTTTTCTTAAAAGGAGGAACTGAGCTGTGACCTAGAGATTTTGTGTGGTGGACTGGTGCATGCTGTTTGTGGGCAGGACTCCACATTGTGTCACCGCTGAGTCATTTATACCCCCTTCCATGTCTCCGTTTATACATATATGTTTATATATAACCTCTGCTCAAAATGCCAGGTGATCACCCTTATATGTGTTTCCTAGATGAGTCTTTTGTAAATTGATTTTTGCTGGGGATTTCTCTGTATGGCCACTGCACATCACCACTGGTCAACCCCAGATACCCCCACAAGGTTCCTGGTCACCCAGGGCGCCTTTCAACTGAGAGAAGCAAAATGCCCTTTCTCTCTGGAGCTGAGAAAACTCAGTCTCTTATTTACCTATGAAAACAACTGTTCAGATCCACATGGAAATGTACACAGAGAAGCTGAATCAAGATTAATTTTGGGAGAAAAAGCAATAGAGAAGAGCCTTTAGAATGTATCTCCAAACTAGAATGAGGATCCTCAACAACTTCCTAGGAGAAAAACAAAAAACAACATCCAAGAACACTTCCTGTAAACTGTACTTACCCACACTTAACTTTATAGCTCTCATCTACCATCACACGTGCCAAAGTCAAATCCTCTCACAGTACTAGATCATCCCTGGTACCCTCAAAACCAAAGAGATCAGGTCATGCAATGCAGGGAAACAGAACTTTAGACCTAAGAAAAATCTGCCCATGACTCTTGGAAACTCCCCATAGAAAACAGAACACTCCAAAAGGGGTGAGTGACACTTTTGTTCTGAATTCTCTAAAGAGGTTCAAGTCATTAGAAGTGCTCTCTAGATTTTTTGGTACAGCAGAGAGTAAAGAGGGAAGGAGATATAGGATGGAAGAAAAGTAAACAAAAGAACATTTGTTTTGTTAATAACAGGAAGCGAATACAGAAACCAAGTGCATAGTTTTTCAGGGTTTTTTTCCTCTTTT